TGTGTGAGTGTGTGTGTGAGTGTGTGAGTGTGTGTGTGAGTGTGTGTGTGAGTGTGTGTGTATGTGTGTATGTGTGTGTGAGTGTTGTGTGTGAGTGTGTGTGTGAGTGTGCATGTGTGTGTGAGTGTGTGTGTTTGAGTGTGTGCAGGCCCTGAGCACACAGCCACAGCTGCTGTGCTGTGGGTTTGGGAGCGCGTGTGCTGCGTCATACCCGAAAGGCAGAGTTTTTGGGCACTCTTCCCAGCTCTCCTGCTCCTACAACCTTCCCACCCCCTTATGTGCCTTTCCCTGGGCCTGGGAGGGGAATTTTTCCTATGATGCTTTTGCAAATCTCATTCATGTGTCACCCCACAGCCCGCCCACTTACTCCCTCCTTGGAGTTGCAATAGCAAATACCACACAGGCTCTGGAAAATTCCACTGAGCCCTGGGAAGAGAACGGCAGTGAAAAGGACAGCTAATGCTTTTGTTTTAGAATTCTCACTCCACCATGGCTAGAGCATGCACAGCCCACCCCACCCCAACCCTGTGTGTGTGTGTGTGTGTGTGTGTGTGTGTGTGTGTGTAGGCCAAAGGTTGGCATCACGTTTCTTCCTCAAATCGTTCTCCACCTCAATTAAAAACCAAAAAAAGATAAACATCCTGGTGGTGCACATCTTTAATCCCAGCACCCTGAGGCAGGCAGATCTCTGTGAGTTTGAGGCCAGCCTGGTCTACGAGTTCCAGGACAGCCAAAGCTGTTATGCAGTAAAAACCCTGTTTTGAAAAACCAACCAATGAACTGAACAAAAACAAAACAAAAAAACAAGTAAACAAACAAACAAAAATGTTAAGAAAATCATTTCATTTGTGTGTATGTGTGTGTGTATCTGTGTGTGCGCCACGTGAAAGCAGAAGTTAGAAGATAGCTTGCAGGAGTTTGTTCTCTCGCCTTTTCTGAGGTATCGAACACAGGTCCTCAGGCTCGGCAGCAAGCATCACCACCCATTAAGCCAGCACAAGGCCTTTTGCTGAAGCTGGAACTCACTGACTCAGCCCAGAGATCCCCCGGGATCCTCCCCCCTCCCCCCCCCCGCAGGTTCTACATCTTCAGCACAGGTGTGCACAGTCTTGCTAGTTTTTGTGTGGGTGCTGTGGGACCAAACTCAGTTCATTGTGCCTATGCAGTAAGTGTTGTGTTGACTAAGTCATCTCAATGCCAGCCTCATGTAGCTCAGGCTGGACTGGCATTGCTCACTCCTCCGTCAGTTGTCCTGGGGTGCCAGGGTTCTAGGTGTTAGCATGCCAGGCCTGCAGTCTCATACCTAGCTTGGTTTTTTCCCCTCAAACACAGGAATCAGGAGAGAATTTCATAAAACATTTTATATGCTCCTTTCTTCCAGCTGTTTCCATGGGAACTTGAGGAGCTGTTGCTAGGCCAGGCATAAGTCCTTCTTAAATCCAGAGGCTTTGACTCTAGTGGAAGTGCCCAGGGGAGGGCTGGAAAGGACATTTGTGTGGCACTGGATGTCCCCGGATGGTCCCCCTTGATCTTCTGCTTAGAGGGATCAGGGTTCAAGTCCATCCTCATTGGATGCTCTGGAGCTTTTTGCACACGAAGGGGCTTCCGCTTCTTCAGGACCACAGCCTACCTCCTGGGAGTTTCTGAGTCCCTAATTCTCCACCAAACTTACTTAAGAAAAACAAAAAGACCCAACCCCAGCCATGGTAGGACACACCAGTATTCCCAGAACTTGGGAGCCAAGGCAGGAAGAGCCTGAGTTCAAGGATAGCCTGGGCTACACAGCAACACTGTACCTCAAACAAAACAAAACAACTGGAAATCCTGGAGGCTCAGGCTGGGTATAGATGTGCATATCTGCAATCCTAGCTCTGGGGAAGCTGAAGTAGCAGGGTTCCAGGCCAGCAAGGGCTGTGTAATAAAACTTCTTAATGTTGCTCCTTCTCCTACAGATTTCAAGCTAGTGTACAGACAGATTGACAGATAAGTATCACCGTGGGAGCAATGACTTGTACACTTTACACCTCTTAGTTAAAAATTCATTACATTTATTTGTTTAGTCACTCATTGATTTATTTTGTGTGTGCTTGGGGATACTGGGGGAGGCAGGGTCAAAGGATAGCTTGTAGCAGATTTCTCTCCTTCCACTCTGTGGGTCCTGAGCATGGAGCTCAGGCTTGGTGACAAATGCCTTAATCTGCTGAGTCATCTCAAAGGCTCATTTATTTGATTAACATTTTTTAATTTTGCCTGGTGGTGGTGGCAAACAACTTTAATCCCAGCACTCAAGAGGCAGAGGCAGGTGGATCTCTGTGAGTTCCAGACTAGTCTAGTCTACAAGAGCTAGTTCCAGGACAGGCTCCAAAGCTATACAGAGAAACCCTGTCTCGGAAAAAAAAATTTTTAATTTTATTTACTGTTACTATGTGTCTGTGAGTGTGTACAAATGCCTGTCACATGTATGCAGGAGTCAAAGGAAAGTTTGACCCCCCCCCCAAATGGTTTCCTTCACTGTGGGTCCCAGGAATTGAACCTGGGTCCTCAGGCTTGTCAGCAGGTTCCTTTACCTGCTGAGCCATCTCCCCTGCCCTGAATCATATACAGAGATGGGTGAATTTATTTGTTGTATGGATCTCATTTTCATGTGAGCTTTACCCAAAGCTGTTTACGGCAGATGTGAAAAAGCACCAACTTAGGATTCTCATCTTGTCCTGTGGGTGCAAATCACTCCGGTGCCTACATGAGCTCCTCACACACACACATCCCCAGTGAGTTCCTCGGAATGAATTCCTGGAAGCCATCTGTGGCTGTTCCAAAGAGACTCATTATGGACAAGAGAATGTACAATGGCCGTCTCGTAGCTTTGTGTGAGGACACGTGTGCTTGGTGACACAGCCTACAGCCAGATGCTGTGGGCCACTTTGTATAACTCCAGCAGTGGTTGGCTGAGGCAGGAGGATTGCTGAAAGTTCAAGAACAGCCTCCTGGGCTACAGAGTGAAAGCCTGTTTCAAAACAGATGAACAAAACTCGAACTAGGGGACCGCAAGATGACTTAGTGGGTAAAGGTGCTTGATAACCACGCCTGAAGACCTTAGCTTAACCCTGCCCCATGTGGTGGAGGGAAGAGAGTTGAATCTCTACCCTTGCAGAGGCTCATAGGTATTTGTGCGCACACACACACAAATAAATATTTTTTAGTGATAAATGATATCTATTCATAAAATTCATGTTTTATTTAGTGATGATGGCCACTGTAAAATGTCACATCATGCAGATATTTTGCGTTTGAGGCTGGCATGGCGTTTCCGTCCTAGGGACATCCATTTTAGGATCAGGAAGATGAAAAGCAGGGAAAATAAAGGGTAGGTGAGCGGTTTGCACAGCACCCGGTTGCCATGGGAACAGTGCCATCAACCTTCTTTCTACAGAAAAAGCAAATAACAAAAGCCAGAGGAGGGTGGGAACCTGAGGTAGTTCTGTTCCGTTCATTTCTCTATTGCTTATGTAATGGCAAGCTTCAATAAACAATACACACAGCCGTTATTCAAGGAGGGGCAGTGTAAGCCAGCCCCCTCCCCCTGCCCTCTCATGGGTTAGGGTCCCTAGAAGGACCCTTAGGAGGGACAACAATGGCTGTCACCTTTCACAGAGGAGCAAACAGGCCTGGAGAAGTTCTAGAAGATTCTCAGAGCCGCAGCTGGAAAAGCGATAAGGATAGTGTATAAATCCAACAGCTAGCCCACTAGACCCTACAGAGTATGGGGACAGGAAGCTCAAGAGTCTTTAAGGGACTGAGCCGTGAGGATGGATCAGTGGGTACCCCAGAGTTCAGTTTCTGGGTCTACATGATAGAAGGAGGGAGCTGACTTCCTGGAAGTTTTCCTCTTTTCTCAATTACATGTGCTGGGGCACACATGTGCATCGCGCGCACACACACACACACACACACACACTAAATAAAACAAAGATTTAAAAGAATTTGGAAGATCTGAGAATAGTGTTTCACACCTATGATCCCAGCATTTTGTAAGCTGAGGCAGGAGGAGTGTGCCAGGAGTTTGAGTCCAGCCTGGGCTACATAGTGATGCCGTCTCAAAAACACAAAACAAAACAAAAGGATTTGGGTGTATTGGCATATGATTCTGATTTTAATTTCAGCACTCAGGAAAAGAAGCAGAGGCAGACAGACCTGTGGGTTTGAGGCTGGCCCAGGCTACATAGTTCCAGGCAAACCTGGGCTCCAAAGTGAGATCCTGTTTCAAAAACAGAATATAGGAACATTCATGAATGAAAGTAGTCTCCCTAGGTGAGTCTGATACCCATTTACTGAGTACCACATACCCTAAATGATGGCCCTGGGCTCATAAAGAACAGCTTGGCATCCTGGCTGCTAGTGAGACCTCTATGCCATCAAAAAAGAGCCAGTGTAAGGTCACCCTCCAAAGAACAATTTAAGTTAAAGCTTTGTAAATCAGAGTTGCCTCTGTCCCCAGGGGGATGGGGATGTAGTTCCGCTGGTAGAGTGCCTGCATAGAATGCATGGAACCCTGGCCTGAACCCCCAGAAAGGCATTAAAAAAATAACGCAGGCAAGAAGTCGATTACACACGGCTGGCGGCTGGCAATCTCAGTATTTAGCGGGGAGGGCGGAAGCAGGAGGATCAGAAGTTCAAGGTCATTTGTGGTGGCTACTTGGCAAGTTCAAGGTTAGCCTTGTCTATAGGAGACCCTTGCCTCAAAAAACAAAACCAAAGTAAACACCCCTTGTGGAAGCATGGCTTCCAAGGAGGTCTCCATCCCCTTAAGATAGCCCGATCCCCCTCTGTGGTGTGTAGCCCCGTGACTTGATCCGTGTGTTTCCGCTTCAGTCCCTAAGCCCTCCTTCCCACCTGGCCCTTTAAGAGCAGCTGCTGCGATCACAACAGCGCAGACCCCAGCAGCTGCCTGCAGTGTTACTATGGAGACGGGACTAGCAGGAGGGGGCGGGGGAAGGGGACTGGGTCTGCGCAGGCGCAGTCTGAGGCTGCCGTGCTGCAGCGGCCCCGCTGAGCGTCTAGACCAGGGTGCGCGCTTCGCTCCAGACTCCGCCGGAGCGCAGGCGAGCTGCCGCTCCCACCCCTCACGCCCACCAGGTGCGTTGATCGTCGCCCTCCTGCACCCCACCATCGATAGCCAGTCACCCAGGCTGTCAGGGACAAAGGAGCTCGGGCCAGCCGGAAGACCGGACACGTAAGCCCCCTGCGGACCCTCGGATTGCCCCGGGGGAAGATCATTGCGTCTGTTAGGCAGCAGGTAGCTAGAGCCCGGAGCCCCCAAACCCGAGCCTGAACTCTAACCCTGCGGGTGGCCCTTCCAGAGTAGGATTGACCCAACCTGTGTTTCGCAGTCCACCCCTTCCTCGGGCTCCCTCCCGCCCCAAGATTAGCCTTCACCCGGCAGCGCCATGACCATGAACCTTCTGCAAGATTGGTGCAAGGAGCTGGAAGTGGAGGTCCACAGGGCCCTGCTGATCACGGGCATCCCTGAGCGCCTGCAGCAGGCGGACATCGAAGACACTCTGAGGCCCAGCTTGCAACCCCTGGGCAGCTACAGGCTTCGGACTGTGAGAGCTGTGACCAAGGAGAAGGCTCAGGCCGCCTTGGTGGAGTTTGGGGCAGATATCGATCACTCTGCTATCCCCATCCACATCCGGGGTGATAATGGGATCTGGAAGATCCTAAGTAAGGACCGCGGACAAGATGCGCGGGTCCTGAGGCAGATGAGGCGCCTGTTGCTGGATGAAAGGCCCATGGATGACTTCAGAGAAATAGCCATCCCTCTGGTATTGGAGGCCCAGGCCCAGGCCAAGGGGTTGGGGAAGGAGGCCAAGAAGGCTGGCTCCTCCGAAGGGGCAGCCAGAAACCGTCGGGGCCGTCGGGGAGGCAAGCGCAGATCTAGAAGCCACAAGTTCACAGTTCAGAAGGGCAAGAAGAGGGGCCGGGGAGGGCGCCGAGCCAGGAGTGAGTCGGACGACTCATCCGATGACAGCCTGGGCATTGTCATAGAGGAGATCTATGCAGAGGACCTGAGCGTAGATGAGGACCAGAGGGCCCTGTATGCCACGCTCCAAGCAGCTGCCAAAGAGCTCACCAAAAAGTGGGCCTTCCGGGGAGACCAGGACGAAGGAGAGGGCCCCCGAGAGTTTTTGGCGCTTGTCACTGTCACCGACAAAGCTAAGAAGGAAGAGATCGAGAAAGACCTCCCTGGGACAGAGTCCATCTGCTTGAACATCAAAGATGAGAAGAGCGGTGTCCCTGACTTAGTCGCGCTCCTGGCTGTAAGGGATACCCCGGTGGTGGAAGCAGACAGCGAGGCAGAGGAGGAAGAGGGAGAGGAGGGAGAGGAGGGAGAGGAGGGAGAGGATGATGGTGACGATGACGATGATGATTCCGACGGCGAGTCTCTGGAAAACGGAGAGGGGGTGAAAGGAGGGGTGGACAACCCCGAGTTTGTGGCTATCGTGGCTTACACCGACCCTGCCGACCCCTCTGCCCGAGAGGAAATGCTAAAAATCGCGTCTGTGATTGAGACCCTAGGCTGGGGCGATAAAAAAGAAAAAAAAGATGTCCTTCCTCAAGTCCTGTCCGTCATGTCCAAGGACACGTCTGGGCCCAGAGTGAAGGTAGAGGAGGCAGGCCGCCAGGTGGACGCCATGGTCCTGAGGAAGGCGGAGGAAGACGGAAACCTTCTGGAATGTATTTCTACTCTGGCCGAAGCCGAGAATTGCCCCAAGGGAAAGAAGTCTGGGCTGGGTCTCCTCCGAGGCTGGACCGCTGAGGGCCACCAGGGTGGCCTCCTGGAGCTGGTGGCCCTCCTGGCTGCGCAAGACATGGTAGAAGCTGTGAAGGAGGAAGAAGCCAGCAGGTGGAACGGCGGGGGCAGCGGCGGCAGCGGGGGCAGCGGGGGCAGCGGGGGCAGCGGCGGCAGCGGCGGCAGGAAGTGTGACCACAGCCAAGGTGGCTTATCCGATGTCCTGGCTTTCCTGGCCTCCCAGGAGAATCTAGAATCCAACGAGGAATCGGACGACGATTCAGACACAGAATCCGAGGGGGATTCCGACGACACTGACAGCGAAGAATCAGAACCAGGAGACAGCGTGTCCAAGAAGCCCCGCGCCAAGAGAGCGCGCACCGGCTCCAAAAGCCTGGCTCCTGCTGGCGCCACCGCATCCAGGGCACGCAAAACCCGCAGGGGTGGCCGAGGTCGTGGCCGGGGCGTCACTCCAGAGAAGAAAGTGGGGAGCGGGGCTACAACCGAAGACCACGCGGGTAACAACAAGAAGCAGAAGAAGGGATCCGCAGGCGCGGGGGCCCGTGCCAGGGCAGGCGAGGCCAAGGGGCAGCCAGCTGCCGTTCCCAAGTCTACCCGCGGGAAGAAAGCACGTCGGGGCCCCAGGCGGGCACCCAAATGCCGTTAGTGCCACAGATGTCGCTACGAGCCCTGTTTCTTGTGTGTGGACTCCCCCCCCATTTCTCTCCCCCCCTGCTAACCCCTCTTGCTTAACCGCGTGCATTCGCTTTGTGTTCTGCCTGGCTGGCTATGACCCGTGCCCAGCCTTCCCTCTTAGTTCCATGAACAGATGGCGCGAGCGATCGTGATGGCCGAAGCCTTGATCCCACAAAGAAAAGAGACAAGATCCTCGGATGCAGTGGCCGCTGGTGGGCGCAGAGGAGATGTGGGCCTGGAAGACCCCGAGGGGCTCTGCTCTACATCTGTAGGGCCCAGTGTGGCACCCACACACATCCTTCCAGGCACCTGCTTCTGGCCAAACAGCTGGAATCGACTGTGAGCCACCTCTGGCCTGACTGTGTCGGGTAGTATAAGTATTAGCTGAGCTTGGAAGGGCTCAGGGCCTTTGTGTGTGTGTGTGTGTGTGTGTGTGTGTGTGTGTGTGTGTGTTGAGGGGAAGGTACTCCAGAAGCAAAAGTCTGAGGGGGTTGGGAGGAGGAGGAATAGAAATGGGAGGAAGGAGGGGAGGGGGGAGCGGGTAGGGGTGTGAGGAAAGGGAGAGGGAGGGGGGAGAAGAGGGGCAGGTGGGAATGGGTGGAGACCAAGCCTCCTCCACCAGCCCTTGTCCACAGGGTGAACTGGTAACACTGCCAATGTGTTCTGATTTGGAACATTTACAGGAAATCCAGATTACTGGTTTCTCCCTGCCCTACCCCAGCTACTATGCGTGGCACCCCAGCTCCATGGCACCAGCTGTCCCTGGCCATTCCTCAGCTGTTCGCCCTTGTAACTCTTGACTTCATATGACAACCGAGTCCCTTGTCCATCCCCACCAGCCACCACGTGCAGTAAATACCCCAGATCCCCTTAAAGGGTCAAGTGTCCCTATCGTAGGAAGCAGTTGCTCTACCCCATCCTGGTGTTGCTACCCATCCCCCAGTAAGCCTGGCTGACACTGGCCAGGCTCCAGCCTTCTGCTGTCCCCCCCGAGCAGCCACTTCAGCCGTGTGTTTTCCCGTAGGGCTATGTGCTGCAGCCCTGGCTGCTCAGGCAGTCCTGTGTTTTGCTGTGTAGATAATGCTTTTCCTTGCACAGCACTTTTCAACTGTGTGTGTGTGTGTGTGGTGTGGTGTGTGTCTCTAAGTTTCTATCCCCAGGAAGTGAACGGTTCGTGGTACCTGGACCCTCTACAGAAGTTCTGACCTGACCTGTCCTCACAGCCCAGACTGGACAGTCCAACCTCATGGCAGGGACATACAGAAACTGCAAGGGCTGTGGGTACCTCTTTGTACTCGGAATCAGCCTCTCCTTGCTTCTCATGACCAGTGATGACGAAGGGACAGATGGAGAAGCAGGCCAGAGTGGCCTGCGGCTGGAGAGGAAGTCTGTCTTCGGGTGGGCTGTTGGACTTGGGGTCTGGTGGAATTCCTGAATGACGTGGCTGGGGAGGGCCCCTTCTCCCTGCATAGTTATAGGTACCTGTCCTTGTGTGCTGTGTGACCCGGGATCCTCCAGTGAAACATAACGAAGCATCTTTGGGCTGTTGTTTCCTCTGTGGTCTGAACAATGCTGTGCGTTCGTACCCAGTTGCGTGACAAGCCTTGCTGTCATGGCTGACACACACATCCCTGGCAGCTGCTGCTCCCCTCCATCCCATGGCTCTCTGTGGAGTCTAATACCCGTCCACACTCCAATTCACCTTGCCACTTTTCCTGAGCCCTTCAGTCCCCTAGACCCTCACAAAGTTCACATTTGTCCTCACAGCCCCCTTTCCCCAAGCCTTGCCCGGTCTCTACCTCACAGGGACGTCCTGCAGTGAGTACAGTTTTCGGTTTTAGCCTGGTCTGCATTTCACGCCAGGAATGGACACGGTGGCCTATGGGGACGGTCTTGGCGGCCACATCTGACACCTGGTCACTCCTCTCTCCATACCCTAGAAGAGCTTGCTATGGCACCTTGGCTCCAAGCCAGATATTTTACAGACATGTGGACCCTCTTTGTCCAATAGTGTCTGTCACTACTGGCCACCTAGGGGCAATTCAATTTACACAGAATCTGAAAGAAATAAAGCGAAACATTCGTATTATTTTGGCAGTCCCATCTACGTGGACTTCACATGGCCAGCGGTGACCACATTGCTCCTAGGCACACACTGTCACTGTGGTCCATACACGATCGCTGCCTCGTTTTTCACAACCCTTTCTGGGTCGTTTTGTGGCTTCGGTCCTCTAGATCCTAAGAAATCCTGCTTTCTCCTACCTTAGGGCCTTCAAAGAGGCCGTTCCTGCCGCCTGGAATCCCTTCCCCACTTCAAATGCCGCATTCTCATGGAGGGCTCCCGATGACCCCACTTAAAAACTGACGCTTTCCGTAGTCAGAGCTCTGACTGTCCCTTGACACATTTATGGGCCCTTTCAGGGATGCAACAAGAAGGTGGGTACATGGCTCAGAGATGAAACTACAGCTCTCTCCCTGGGTTGGAGGTAACCCCTCTGAAAAGCCAGCAATACCCCGGAGCCCAGGTCACTGGAGTCTGGAAACCCCAAACAGAGGCATTTTGCTGAAGATGGTCCAGAGGTTTTGGTACTGTCCATGTGAGGTTTCTGCTGCTGGCTTCAGGACCGAGCAGCCTTTCTCCCCAACTTTCCAACCCTAATGCATCATCCAAGCTCAACAGCCCCTGGCAAAGAACTCTGGGGCTAAAACTTCGGACAGGAAGCAGAGCCACTTAGAGTCAGCTCCCAGCAGCGGGAGTGGGGTATATCCCACATTGTTCCCAGCGCCTATCACAGCGCGCAGCAAGCAGAGTAGTACCGCTAGGCTGAAGTTGGTTTCAACGGGGAACTAACTCTTTTGGGATGAGTAAACCGGACTCTAAGTGCGCTTGGTAAGGAACATTCCAGAGCGATATGGTCTCTGGAGGGAGCCGAGGGTCGAATAAAGACCAGAAGGAACTGTGGAGGAGGCCCTGAGGTCCTCGCGGAGTGGGGTGGGGGGAGGCGGTGTCAGACCCATAGTCCGTGCTCGGAGGAGCGGGTGCAACCTGCAGGGAGCCCTAATTGGCGTAGGTGGGTGGGGCACGGCTGCCCCCTGGCGGCGGAAGAGGCAATCACGGCGCAGTTTGCGCAATGCGGATTCTTCCAGGCTGCGTTCCTGGGAACAGGTGCGTTCCTGGGTGGGGCGACAGGACAAGAAAAGGACAGAAAAGGGCAAGATTTATGTGTTAGATATCCAGGACTGCTGTCTAGAAAAGGCCCCTAAGGCAGAAGCCTGAGGATGACGGGCGACCGAGGCCTGTGGCGGGTACATGCCCGAGGGAGCACAGGCCGACCGGCCCCAGGCAGTGCAAAGCTGAAGCCACAAAGCAAGTTTAGGACTATCAGCATGCAATCACCGCGCCTTCTGCGCAAGGATCTGAGCTGGGCTTTGAGGAAGCAGCGTCATCAAGAGATCAGTTAGCTTGGTACTCAGGAAGTCAAGGCGGGGTGGGGTGGGGGCAGGAATTCCAAGCGAGCAGGGGCTACCAAGCAAGACCCAGCCTTCGATGGAGGAGCTTGGCGGCAGGATAGAACCTGAGTTCTATTCCAGCACTCGCTGTGGAAGGAGGGAACTGACTCCCGCAGCTAAACTCTGACTTACACACAACCACAGCAGGAGCATGTCCAAACACCTCCCCTCTTCCAATACACACTCCACACCAAACAACAAAAAGCCCCCAACAACAGTAAAAGAACAAGTAAGCAAACGAAAACCCCAAATGAAAAACTCAAGAAAAAAGACCACTAAAAATTCCAGAAGAGGCCGGCAGTGGTGGCGCGCGCCTTTAATTGCAGCACGCAGCACGCAGGAGGCAGAGGCAGGAGGATCTCTGTGAGTTCGAGGCCAGCCTGGTCTACAGAGTGAGGTCTAGGAGAGCCAGGGCTGTTACACAGAGAAACCTTGTCTCAATAAACCAACCAACCAACCACCACCAACAAACCCAAAAACAAAAGGGTTGCTGGCCAGTAGAATTAATTATAGAGACTGGAGCTTAGGAAGAGAAAGCTGGGGGTGCGGTGGTCCAGGCAGATTTTATGGATGTGTGTCCTTGCCCGGGACCTCATCTATCTTGTCTTAATGCTGCCTCAGACAAGGACATCGGTGCTGTAGATTCCTGGGGTCGTGAGTAGGTGCAACAAAGGGAAACTGAGGGTTCTGGGGTTCTGGGGAACTATGACGTCACTCCTTCCGGTATCCAAAGTCTGGTGCCCACAGAGAACCCAGATCCTTAGTGCAGAACCCTCCACTTCCCTCATGATGCTTGCTCCCCTTAGCATTCTGGTACGCAGAGGCGTCATCTCACAAGAGCTGCAGGGGCCCCCTTGTACCACGGGGGGGGGGCGATCAGGGATCACGGGTTCAAACCACACGCTCACTACAGTTTCCTGTGACATTGGCATTGACATGGGATCAGGGCCTGAGCTTGGCTGCTTCAGCAGCTCCTGGGAATTTGCGAGAAATGCATATTCCTGATTCCCCCATCTACCCAGCCATTTCGGGGATGGGTTTCCTAAATTTGTTTTTGTTACCCAGGTGACTGTGAGGGTATGGGCAGTCTGAGAATGGCTACTCTGGGGACCGAGTGTCTCTCTGTACCTTGGGATCTGATGCTCTATGTAGCCCAGGTGTGTAGACCAGTGTGGCCTCCAACACACAGAGGTCTGGTGCTTCTATATCGGAGTGCTGGAATTAAAGGCGCTCACCGCCACGCTGGGCCATGCCCTTCTTGACTCCAGGAGCTATATAAACACTGGGTTGTTTTGCACCCAGAAGGAGCATCCTGGGAGCAGGTGGCTCAGCTCCGTCCGCCCTGTGTCCTCATTCAGGAGTGCTATGTGTGCTTGTATGAGGAAGCTCCTCCAATGCATACAGGCAAAAAGGGGAAACTAGAGGATGCAGGAAGTCTCCGATGATTTGGGGCGACAGCGCTTGTCCGTTTGTGGGTGGGTTCTGTACCG